TCTAAAGAAGATACATCATGAAACTGAGGAGATAACTTCTTTAACAAAGGTAAAGATGGATGCCCCAACCAACAATGAGCTTCAAAAGGAGATAAAGTACTGGAACAGGCAATGGTCTGAGGTTCCTGGGTATCCAAAATGTAAAGACCTCCTGATTCTCGTCATTTACCAATAATCCTCTTCGTCATAAGATCCTAAAACAGACAATGATCAGGAAAGAATGAGATACAACAGTTAAGCGTACGAGTGAATTTGCTAACAGATACCAAATTAAAAGAAAATTTTGGTAAACTCAATACAGATGACAAAGAAAGTGTTGGTGTGGGATTGATAGTGCCAGAACCAAGGACAGAAGAAATAGAACCATCTGCTAAGGTGACTGAAGAAGGAAAAGGGTGTGATTGGAAAGTGGAAAAGAGACTAGGATTACCTGTCATATGATCTGTTGCACTAGAATCAATGACCCACTGAGAGGAAGAAGAAAGAAGACATGTATTGGTTTTACATGACTCAGCAAGGGCAGTGATGGACTGAGAGGTGTTCTTTAATGCCTCTTGATACTGGGTAAATTTCGCATACTCATCTGCAGAAATTGTAATGGTTTGATTTGACGATGGATGAGAAGCATCACTCGTAGTTACAACATGAGCTGATTGAGGCCTAGAAGACTTCTGGTTTTTCTTTAGCAATTTCTGGCAAGTCCTTTTAGTGTGTCCTGGTTCATGACAATAGTAGCAAACTACTCCCCCTGTGGCCTGAGTTCCAGCATTCSAACCACTATTACTGCCACCTCTACTACTATTCTGAGAACGAGACCGGCCAGTTGATCCACTATTCTGATTGACAAGTGCATTAGATTGTTGTACAGGTGAGGTATGGGAACTAGTATCTGTACGAAGGACCCTAGTAAAGACCTCTTTTAAAGARGTAATCTCAGGATTAGACAAAATCTGTGACTTAGCACCATCAAATTGAGGATTAAGGCCAACCAAAAAACTCATAATAGCCATTTATTCACGTTGAGTCTACTGAACTTTGATATCAGTACTGAARGGTAACAAGGCGTTCAATTCTTCATAAGTGCGCTTGAAATTCATGAAATAGGTYTGAAGAGACTGATCYTRTTGTTCAGCCCGATAAAATGTCTTGCAAACATCAAAAATACGGGAAATATTTTCTTTACCAGAGAACAGAAAAGCCAAATATTCCATTAGTTCTTTTACAAACTCACAGT